CCCACCCCCGCCCCGTGCTGGGGTCTTCCACCGCCTCCCAGCTCTGGCACCAAAGCAAACCTCAGCACAGGTTTTCTGGCGCTGGTTGGGGGTCACAACCAGGTTGGTGATGACGAAGAAGACGTTCTCCCCCTGAGAAACCAGAGAGGAGTTAAGGAACCTCCTGCTCTCCTGGAACCCTCCTTCCCAGGGCTGCCTGGCAGGGCGCAGGGCCTCGGCATGGGTATTGAGGACAGTGGAGCTACAAAATCAGTGGATCCCATCTGCCCACTGACCTAAGTCCTTTAATAGGTTCCTCCCAGACCCACACCCACAAATCGCCCCTGCCCCACAAATCCCTATTTTGACCTCAGCCCCTGGCGTCCAAGCACAGATCCGGGAGAGGAGCAGTAATGGGGCAGCTCCGCCCTGGCCCAGGGAGACTGTGATCAAGCTAGGACACTGATCTAAGGGATTCACACCAACTTGGAAATTAAATTCCCTGAGCCCCATTGGTCTCAACAGGCTCAGGTTTTGCTGGGAGCAGAGCAGTTCCATGAGGCACAGAAGAGGAAGGAGGGCAGGAGTTGGACTTAGGGGGAGGATCTGTATAGGATCTATGTACAAACCCGGGCAACTGTTCTGGGCCATGGGAGACAACGAATGGAGGTTCCTGGGTCCCAGCCCGGCCAGCCAGGGTGCAGACCTGGGGTGGGATGACGTAGTCAGCAACATCCCAGAGCCGCTCCCCCAGCTCCGAGGTGTTGGTGAAGATCACGCCCTTGACTTTGGTGATGATGCTGCTCTGCAGGGAGGTGTCGGTGTCTTGGTAACTCTTCTTCACTAGGAACACCCAACTGCGCAAGGGCCAACAAGGTGGCCATCAGCCCAGGGTGGGAGGGGCGGGGGCGGGCTTAGGCTCCACCCTGCCCACCTGCTCCTGGACTGGGTCACAACTCCCACTGCTGCCTGGAGCCCCATCCTGCAACCAGCAGAGGTGACAACCCCAGGTAATAGTGCGCTGCTCTCAGTGGGGCTCGGATGAAACCTGCTCACCCTGGAACTGGCTATAGGACCTCCAGCAAGCCACCGAGCTCGGGGTAACAGGATAACAGCGCCTCCCTCCAGGTGCGAGGAGGGTTAAAGGTCATGGTGCATAACCTGAACCAATCATGGGGGGACCCAGAAGGGGCAGTCCATAAAATTCTAAAGCATGAAAAACTAAGTTGGACTTTACCAAAATTAAGAACTTTTATACATCAAAATGTACTATCAAGAAAGTGAAAAGATAATTCACAAGATGGGAGAAACATTTGTGAATTATATAACTAATAAGGACCTAGAACCCAGAATATATAAAGAAGTCTTAAAATTCAACACACCAGAAGACAACCCAGTTTAAAAATATGCCAAGGATATGAATAGATATTTCTCCAAAAAGATATACAAATAGCCAATAAGCACATGAAAAGATGCTTAACATCATTAGTCATTAGGGAAATGCAAATACAAACCACAATGAGATATCACTTCACGCCCAATAAAATGGCTATAATAAAAAAAATGGAAAATAGCAAATGGTGAGAATGTGGAGAAACTGGTACTGGTGACGGGAATGTAAAATGGTGTAGCTGCTGTGGAAAATGGTTTGGCAGTTCCTCAAAAAGGCTACCTTTAAAAAAAAAAAAAAGGCTACCTTATGACCCAGCAATGCTACTCCTAAGTGTAAACCCAAGAGAATTGAAAACATGTTTACACAAAAATGAGCACATGAATATTCTTAGCAGCATTATTCATAGTAGCCAAAAAGTAGAAACAGTCCAAATGCCAATCAACCAATGGGTAGATGAACAAAATGTGGTATATCCATACAATGGAATATCGTTCAGTCATAAAAGGATTGAAGTACTGACACATGCTTCAACATGGATGAACCCTGAACACGTTATGCCAAATAAGTCAGACAAGGAAAAGCCACATAGTGTATGATTTGATATCTAAGAATTGGCCAGAATGGGCAAATATATAGAGGCAAAAAGTAGATTTGTGGTTGCCAAGGGATTAGGGGTAGGGGAGAATGATGACCGGCTGTTAATAGATGCAGGTTTCTTTGCGGGGGTTGCGGGGGGGAATGATAGAAATGTGCTGGAATTAGGTAGTAGTGATGGTTGTACAACATTGTGAATATACTTAAAACTACTTAATTGTATAATTTTAAATTATTAAAATGGTGGATTATGTGCTATGTATATTTCACCTGAATTTAAAAATGATTTATAAAAAAATCCTGTATTCTTGAAAAATTGGCAGTGTCATGAAACACAGAGAAAGACTCAGGAACAATTCCAGATTGAAGGAGCCGAAGGAGACATGGCAGTGAGTGCAAGGCGCGAGCCCACATTGTTGGGACAATTTACAAAAGGCCAATAGCTTAAACAATATCATTTCAATGCTAATTTCCTACTTGTACTTGGTTAAATAAGATAATTCCTTATTTTTAAGAAATATACAATGAAGTATATAGGAGCAAAGAGGGATTGTGTTTGCCATCTACTCAAACAGAAAATAATGCCTATATATATGGAGACAACACAAATGAACAGCACAAATGTAGTAAAATAACATTTGGAGAATCTAGTTGAAGGGCATTTAAAAAGTATTTTTACTACTTGTAACTTTTCTAAAATTATGTCAAAATGCAAAAAAATATTTTTAAGAACTGAGATGTGCATGTAAATTGCTTAGCACAGAAGAGTGCCTGGCACAGAGGAAGAGCTCATTGAATACAACTCATCAGTTTATTGCTGGTGTTACTGTTAATATTAGAGGCTGTGCAGGTTCATTGAACCCTGGGAAAGTTGGGGAAACTGAGCCAGGAGAGGTCATGCAGTAGTGTGTGGGATGCCCTGCACCTGCCAGGGTGCCAGTAAGGGTTCTCTGCATAGCTGGGGTCATCTTCATCTCTGGGGGCAGAGCTGGCGTGTCCCGGGCCCTAGACTGGCCTGTCGCTAAGGAACTCAGAGGGCTGTGACCCTGGGCCAACCAGCCGTTTGGGAAGGGACACACTGGGCTCCACCTGGAGAGAAGCATCCAGCAAATACTCCAGGAACATTCATTCACTCCTTCATTTCACACCCATTGCCCGAGTGGTTAGGACTCCGTGGTCGGCAAACTGCAGCTCGAGAGCCACATGCGGCTCTTTGGCCCTTTGAGTGTGGCTCTTCCTAAGCCTTAGGAGTACCCTAATTAAGTTAATAACAGTGTACCTACCTATATAGTTTAAGTTTAAAAAATTTGGCTCTCAAAAGAAATTTCAATCGTTGTACTGTTGATATTTGGCTCTGTTGACTAATGAGTTTGCCGACCACTGGGTTAGGTGATGCCAGGCCTCTTCCTCATGATCAGTGGTTCTCAACCTTGGCTGCACATTAGAATCACCTGGGAATCTTTTTAAAATCCTGATTTCTGGGCCTCATCCTCCGGAAATTCTGTTTCTTTGTTATGGGGTGGGGCCACAACATAAGTAACAAAGAAACAGAATTTCTGGAGGATGAGGGCCCGAAATCAGGATTTCAAAAAGATTCCCAGGTGATTCTCATGGGCAGCCAAGCTTGAGAACCACTGCTCATGATGTTCCAGCCTGATGGGGAGTCAGACACAGACATTAAGCAAAGGAGCCTCCAAACAAGCATGTAATTACATTGTGGGGAATTGTGTGACGTGGGAGGAAAGCAGAGGGAGTTGTGGGAGGTCCCAGGTCTTAAGGAGGAGCAGACACTGCCCAAGTGGAGGAGGAACGGAACCCCTGGCTGAGCAACAGCGAGTTCAAAGGCCCTCAGGCGGGAGACATGAGGGCGAAGCTGGGGAAATGCCAGGTGGATCAGGGCCTCCTCCCCGGTCAGGAAATGGGAGGGACAAACCGCATTTACTGGAGGAGTAGGAGAGGCGCACCTGCATCCCAGTCCTCCACGGTCATGCCCTCCCTCCACCTGTGCCCCCTCCCTACTCAGGGGCGAGGGCTCTGGGCAGTGCCCGGCGGAGCCGCCCCAAGGAGCTGCCCCTCTGCTGCTGGCACCAGCTTCTGCCAGGTGGGAGGGAGATGTGGGGGGACAGAGGCCCACTGGGCGGTCCCCCAGGGGCATG